ACTTGGAGAGCTCACATCATGGGGCCAGCGCTTCACCTCCTCCCCCTGTCACCCCTCCCCTGGCCTGTTTTCAGTCACATCCCATCCCTGTCACCCCTCCCCTGGCCTGTTTTCAGTCACATCCCACATACCGCAATTCTCACTGCCCAGGTCAAGTGCGCATCTCTGGAAGACAGGACCTGGCTCCTCCCGAGCACTTCACGAGTCACGTGAGATAAGCACTTTCGTAAGCTCTTGGCTTGACACAGACCGTCCTTACCCAGTGCTTGCCCCGGGGGGGGCGGCTGGGATACACTCAGGGCTGGAACCTGGGGAGCCACCGTGGTCCCAGACCTGGAGCCCCTGGGTCAGTGCCTAGATGAGTCAGGCATCCAGAGTGGAGAAGATGATGAAGCTTGTGTGGCTTCTCTAGCTCAAATAAGACACACCCTCCCAAGAGCAGCGGTAGCTTCATTAGGTCTGGTTCTTTCACTGAGCCTCATCCGCCGTTGAGAAATCTTCCAGCAGAAACTGGAGAGCTCCTCCGTCAGACCAACAGAGACGTGAGGACAAAACAGGGAGCCAAGCTCTGGGATGTAGCTTGAGATAGGCTCCCAGCTGCTGTGAGGGCGGGCAGGCGGCCTCCTCTCAGGCTAGGAGCGCCTGCTTGCATCTGGTGACAAAGGCAGCTGCATCTCGTTTCCTGCCCTGGGTGCTGGGCCGCGCCGACGCAAGTGGTCTCTCCCGCAGGGGGCACCGTGTGCCGGGCCCTCTCTGGTCGGCGCCTCTGACCACACTGGCCAAGGGCTGCGTCCTCTGGCCTGTCCGTGCTGCAGGGCTGCCTGCCCTTCCCCACCTCACTCCAGCAGCTTGGGGGCAAGGCCCTCCTGGCTGGTGCCTCACGGGGCCTGCTGTCGGGGCTCTTGCTCCTGGCAGTTTCCTCCTCAGGCTCAGTGCCTTGGGCCCGCAGCCTCCAGTGGGGGACTCTGGGGAGGCCTGTCAGTCCCCATGCCCGCGGACTCCTGGGTGGAGGGGCTTCCTCGAGGATGCGCCCCCCCGTCCCGCTGCTGCTTGGCCCCAGGTTGAGCCTGGCGCCTCTCCTCTCGGAGAGCTTCAGGGCAGCTCTCCTGGCTCCCCAGCTCAGGGCGGCACTTCGAAGAATGTCCCTCCACTCGTTTCCTGGGGGCTCCATCTCCGCCACTCCGAGGTGCGCTCTTCCCCAGGTCTTTACAGCTGTGGCCCTCCTGTGGTCTTTGTCTCCTGTCTGTGGCTCTGGCTCTGCCCGGCTGGAGACGTCTTCAGTTTTATCTCTGACCTTGCCTGATAACCTCTAAGAAACTTTCATTTGTAAGAACTTTTTTTTTTTTTTTTGGGTAGTCTGACTTTTCTGGTTTTACAGTGTCCTGTCTTGTTAAATGGATGCGATGTCTTATCTATTATACTGGGATAATAAAGGTAGTTTCTTGATATTTTCTTCTTCCTGCTGAGTTTCTCCAGGGGATCTTTATCTGTCGTGTTAGGTGTGTGGGAGCCTGTGGTCAGCTGCTCACTCTTGACAGGGCTCTGTGAAGGCAAGTGGAAATTATACCTGCGGGTTCTGTCCCTCTTTCCAACCTGGATTTTCAGCTCTTATTTTAGTTTTATTCAAGTGAGGTTATTACAGGGAATGTGTTTGTTTGGATTATGACTTAAGCTCGCACCTCACCCTTCACGTGGCTCTGTTCTAATGCAGGTGGCTTCCTCTTCCGAGAGCGACAGCGCACACTGGAACCTATATACGTATATATTTATTTATTTTTCATTCTGGCTGATCCTTTATCATCCTCCTCTCCAAAAAAGTTCACCATTTTGAAGAATTCGGTGCCTAAGAGAGTGTAATACTTGAAGGGACAAACCAAAGAAAGTTTAGGTCCTTTCTGACTTGACAGTATGAACCCTATAGATGTGTGAGTTGGACACAGCTGTCTTCCCTCTCGGGGCCAGTGTGGTGACTCCCTCTCCTCTCTGGAGGTGGGCTCCCCGGCTTCCTTGGTGCCCGATGGCGTTCAGGGAGGGCGGGACAGTTCTTTCTTGTGCTGGCCTGAGCCATTCTTCACCACTCAGCTCCCCGGGCTGTGCTGCAGGTGTGGGGAGCTCGCCCCCGGCCCTTGGGCCCTGGCACCCCTCCTTGGACCTCAGGGCAGGGCTTGAGCTTCTCTCTGACAGGTGGCTGATAAAAATGTGGGAGGAACCTCTTTTCCGTTGAGGCAGTCCAAGTGCAGGTTGGAATAGAATTTGTCAGACACAGAGCCCCGTATGGGACCCCAAATGTTGGGGCAGTCCAAACGCGGGTAGGGGGAAGAATCTCCAGACATAGAGAATGTCAGAAGGGAGTGAATTTGTTAAGAAAAAAGAGCAGAAATAACGTGGGCACCGTGAGTGCAGTAGGCCAAGAATTCCTGACAGGCAAGGGAGAGTCGACAGTTTTCCTGAGTTAATAGCCAATTTTTATAGCCTCAAGACAAAGAAAATTCCTGCTGGAAGGTTGGTGTTAAGTGATCAGTTGGGGCACTTGTAGGGTGTTCACTGGAGTGGGCCTCTTTGCCTACTGGGGAGTGAAGCTTGTTAGTGATGATCAGGGAGGAGGGGGCTTTTGGTGATGGTTATGAAGGGGCTCAGTCAGCTTCGGAGTGACCTGGGTTCCGGGCTCTGTTTCTGTGGCCTTGGTGCAAGGCCTCGCACCTGGGGTCTTGGGGGCAGGCCTCAGCGTCTTCCACCTGTTGAGTCCTTCCTGCTCTGTGCTAAGTGCTCTGGCAGTATGCTTCAGAGGGTGTGGCACGTCCTCCTATCGTCCTCCCTGCTGCTGTGATTCGGGTCTTACTCTGGGTGCAGGGTCAGCCACCAGCCACAGGCTTCTGTCCCTGGTGGCTGAAAAAAAGCATCCTGCACACACAGGCCACACTTGGCCAGGAAGCCTCTCCTGGGAGTGGGGCAGGGCTGCAGAAGCCCCCACCTCCGAGAGGTCCATTGGCTGACGGTGTCATGGTTCCCAAATCGAGCAAGTTTCCTTTGGTGCATGAAAGCCTTTGGGTGGGTGGAGGGCATCCTGTCTCCCTGAGGCCAGGAGCTTCCGCACAGACCCCGAGGGAGGGGCAAGGTGCTGGGAAGCCGGCCCGTCACACCCGGGGAGGCCACCTTGAGGAGGGTGTCAGGAGAGACGGGAGCGGGGGTGGGAGGTTCCGGTGAGACTGTTCTCCGACCGGCTTCCTTCACACCCTGGCGCTTCCTGTGCCTGTGTGCCTGACAGTTCCTCCTGTGACCTCAGCATGACCCCATGAGGTAGCACTGTCCCGTCCGCCCTCTGCAGGGGGGACCCACAGGGTCACTGCTGGGGGTCTGGGTGGCCAGGGCCCGTGGCCTGGGGGCACACAGCGGGCGTCTGCCTTCCGCTGCAGATGCCAGCGTCAGGGACGAGGGCTGGACGTGGAGGCCTGGAGGCAGAGGCCACCGCAGAACGGCCCGGGCTGAGATGTGGGGTGCGGACCGAGCCGAGAAGAGGAGGCCCCCAGGTGTCTCTTCTGGGCGGTGGTGGGCACAGTGCCCAGGCTGCAGGGGGCAGGTTCCTGGTGTGTCCCTGCAGGTGGGTTCTGGGCTCTGGCTGGGGGACTCGGGGGCCCGGGTGGTGGGTCGGGTCTGGACCAGAGACCAGTGGAGCTCTGCCTGGGCAGAGGGGCGGCACCCCGCTCCCCCCGAGGATGGGTCTGCTCAGTCACCTCTGTCTGAGATGCTTGGGGTCTCAGAGCCCACCTCCACGTGGATCGCCTGCCCCGCCAACCTCAGCCCCTGCCCACGCACTCCCTGGCCTGCCGTGGCCTGGTCTTGTGCTCCCGCTGCCTTCCTGTCGCCTCTTTCTGAGCCTGGTTACGTGTCTCCTGGTGTGTGGATCTCCACTCTGGCTGCCTCTCCAGCAGGAACTTGTTGCTGCCTCTGGGCCCGGGGCAGGTGCAGGCTCGGGGAAGCGGGCAGAAAGTGGAACTCTGACCTCACGTGGGGAACGAGTTACCTGGCAGTGGGGTGGCTCCGTGGTGTTTCACTTTTCTTCACACACTAGTACTGATCTCTCTCAGCGTTTGGCGTCCTTCCTGAGATTTCTTTGGCGATGACAAGTGTGGTCCTGCAGCACCCTGCACACTCGCGGTGCCCGAGGTGTGGGTGTGTTTGGAACTGTCAGAATCTCACAGTATCGGTTGGACCAGGCTTGTTGGATTCTGTTGTGGGGGTGAGGGGTTCTTTTATCAGTGAACCCAGCTCTGGAGAGAAAGGTGGGGAGACCCATCCTGCAGGGAAGAAGGTGGCCTGTGAGCAGGGGGCCCGGCTGGGGGCCCTAGCCTGGTGCCCCCTCCTTTCTAACAGGTACGCAACTGTCCTTAGCTTTGTGGGGGCGTTGGGTGTGTCCTGCCACCCAGACAGGCTCCAGCATAGCCGTGCGCACGGCTGTTGCCCTGCAGGGCGTCACGTGATGAAAACTTGGCTCCGATTCGTTCTCTTGCTGTGCGTGCGTTCGCATCTGTGAGGTCGACGTCTGCCTTGAGCTGGAGGTTGATGAGGCCGGGCTCATCTCCTTGGTCCCCCTGGGAGGACCTGCGTGTGGGAACTTTGCCTTGGGGGGGCTAAGGTGACTGGCGTGGCCCCTCCGTCCTGCACAGGTCCCATTGCTCTTGGCACTGGAGTTGGGAGGGGATGTGGGTGTCCGCAGGGCAGGAATTGAAGGTGGCCGCCACTCTGCCATCGACTGTGCTGATTGTGAGCAGCCCTCGGCTGGCCCCTCTGCCCGCCCGAGCTGGGCGGCTGCTTTGTTGCCAGGGTGACCGCCGTTCCTGGCTCGGCCACCTTTTCTCGCTGTACTGAGGGCCCCTCCCTCCGTGCCTGCCCTGGACCTTGGCCAGGCTGGTGCGCCGGGCCACCCGTGGGCCCCGGACAGCTGCTGTGAGGGCCCGCTGGCAAGCAGCCTGTGTGAACATCTCTCCTCCTTTGTATTCCAGCGAGGATGCCATGAGGAAGGCTGGCGTGGCCCACAGCAAATCCAGCAAGGACATGGAGAGCCACGTGTTCCTGAAGGCCAAGACCCGGGTAAGGCCTGGGGGGACGGTGCTGCGGGGGCTGGGGCCAGGCCGCGGGGATGGGGTGGCTGCTTACTGCTGGGTGCTGCTCTGCAGGCCGTCCCCTGCATCTGAGGTACCGCTGTGGGAGGGCAGTGCGTGGGTGCCCAGGCCAGCCTGTTGGCACCCCTGTTTGTGCCCAGTCCCCGTGAGTCCTGCAGGGTGCTGTTGGGCCTTGGCGGCCCCTGGGGACAGTGCCCCAAGGCAGAAACACTCTGTCCTCAGGCTCAGTCCTCCCCGGGGTCGGGCCCTGGCAGGTGGGCCCAGGAGGGCTCCCGCCCCCTTCTAAGTGACACAGGTGATGCTTGTGGAGGGTGTGGCCCTGGCAAGGATGGGGGAGGCGGCGGATCAAGCAGTTGGGGCGGATCCTCTGTGAGTTCTCACAGGAACTGGGGCTGCCTGGGCCCCACGTGACCCCTCCTGTCATTGTGCGCACCTCGGGGGCAGAGCTGCTCGTTGCAGTGAAGCGGGACAGACACACAGAAGGCGGCTTGTGTGGGCCGCCTGGCTCTGCCGAGCGCCTGGCGCCCGAGCGTGGGGCTCGGCTCTGGGACCCTCTGTTGCGAGTTGAAAGCAGACGGTGTTTACAGTCGGTACTGGTGTAGGTGAACCAGCTGTCAAGACGTGCAGAGCTCCGTCGGGGAAACTTGAGCCTGTCTGAGAGTTTAGACGAGGTAAATATTTTCTGAGATGGGAAGATGGAGCTGACTGGCCGCAGAGTGGTTTCTGAAAGAGAACCCACGTGTGCAGCTGGGCTTGGAGATGGGCACGCACACGCGTGTCAGCACGTGTAGGTGAGGCGTGAGCCGCCCTTGCGCATAGAGAGTGGTAAGCTTTTTCTTCTTTTTTAACAGCCTTATCAAGCCCTGATTCATACATTATACAATTCACCCATGTAAAGTCTGCAATTCAGTCGTCTTTAGGGCCTTCACAGAGTTGTGCAGTCTTCACCATGATGTGTTTCAGGGGATTTTCTTTTCTTTCTTTTCCTTTTTTTGATGGCACTGCTTGGCTTGTGGGATGTCAGTTCCCTGACTGGGGATTGGACCTGGGTCCTGGCAGTGAAAGCCCGGAATCCTGACCACTAGGCCCCCAGTGCTCTCCCTGGAGCTTCTCCTAAAGAAACTCTGTGCCTATTAGCTGCACTCCCCATCCTCCTCAGCCCTAGGCAGCCACCTAGTTGCTTTCTGTTGCTATCGATTTGCTTGTCCTATACTTTTCATATAAATGCAATCATAAAATATATGTTTTTGTGACTGGCATCTTAGTAAAATATTTTCAGTGGTTATCTATGAGACATGTTGTGGAATGTACTTCAGTCCTTTTTATTGCCAAGTAATATTCCATTGCATAGATGTACCACATTTTATTTATCCATCCATCATTGTCAAAGCTATGGTTTTCCAGTAGTCATGTATGAATGTGAGAACTGGACCGTAAAGAAGGATGAGCACCAAAGAATTGATGCTTTTAAACTGTGGTGTGGGAGAAGGCTCTTGAGAGTCCCTTGGGCTACAAGGAGATCAAACCAGTCAATTGTAAAGGAAATCAGTCCTGAATATTCATTGGAAGGACTGATGCTGAAGCTCCAATACTCTGGCTGCCTGATGCGAAGAACTAACTCATTAGAAAAGACCCCGATGCTGAGAAAGATTGAAGGTGGGAGGAGAAGGGGATGACAGGAGGAGATGGTTGGATGGCATCACCGACTCTGTGGACGTGAGTTTGAGTAAACTCCGGGAGATGGTGAAGGACAGGGGAGCCTGGCGTGCTGCAGTCCATGGGGTCGCAAAGAGTCGGACACGGCTGAGCGACAGCAAACCCATCAGTTGATGTACGTCTGGACTGTTTCTGCTTTCTGGCTGTTACAGCAATGCTACTCTGAACTTTTGTGTGCCAGCTTTCCTGGGGATGTATGTTTTCATTTCTCTTTGGTATATACCTGGGTAAGAAGTTGCTGGATCAGATGGTAGTTCTGTTTAACCTTTTGAGGAATTGCCAAATTGTTTTCAAAGCAGCTGCACCATTTTACATTCTCACTGGGGGTGTATTTTGTTCCAGCTTCTCCATTCCTCATCAGTACTCGTTACTGTTTTATTGTAGCTTTCATAGTGAGTGTGAAGTGGTATCTTATTGTGGTTTTTTAAAAATTAACTAATTCATGGCTGTGCTGGGTCTTCATTGCTGTTGCAGACTTTCCTTAGTTGCAGCAAGTCGGGGGTGCTCTTTAGTTGTCGTGTGCAGGCTTCTCGCTGCGGTGGCCTCTCTGGTTGCAGAGCTCTGGCTCTTGAGTGCGTGGGCCTCAGTGGCTGTGGCTCACGGGTTCTAGAGCTCGGGCCCAGGAGTTGTGGTGGCAGGCTTCGTTGCCCTGGGACACCTAGGATCTTAGACGGGGGATAGAACCCGTGTCGCCTGCACTGGCAGGCAGGCTCTTAACCACTGAACTACCAGGTAGCCCCTCGGTGTGGTTTTGATTTGCATTCCCAGATGGCTTACTATGTTTATTGGTCATTTGTATATTTTCTTTAGAGAAATGTTTGTTCAGACCCTTTGCCCGTTTTAAAATGGAGTCATTAGTGTTTCTGTTGAAGAGCTCTTTTCCAGTTTTGGAGACACGTCTCTTATTGGGTGTGTAATTTGCTGGTGTTTGGGGGATGACCTGAGGTGAGAGCCTTGGGGAGGACTCACTGAGTTGTTTCCTTTGGACACACTCCCCTGCTGTTCGGCACTGCTGTTTGTCTTGCTCTGTGAGGAGCTGCCCAGAGAGCCATGGCCTAGTGTGGTGATGGCGTCCGTCCTGACTCTGGGTTGGGCGGGGTGTGGAGTAAGCACCCCTTTCAAGGCCCCGGAAGCAGGCACAGGGCTGCTTGGCCCAGGATGCAGCCGGGGCGACTCAGGCACACAGCACCCAGGGGACTTGCCCAGGCGTTCTCCCACCTGGGGGCCTGCAGTCAGAGCCTGCCAACTTTCCTTCACTTCCCCCATCTCGGAAAGCAAAAGACATCCAAACACCCAGTTTAATTCTTAACACCTGAATTCCTGTAGGTGGGTATGCTCTGTGCCTCGGATAGACTGAGGGAAGCAGAAACCACAGTGCCTGGGGGTGTGGTGTGATCACAGCTGGAGCACTCTGAAGGCTTGGGAGGGCTAGGGCGCTGACCTCTGTGCTGCGTGCGTGAAGGGGCTCATCACAGCTATGTGCATTGCTGATGTTTGCTTACCATTTGGTTGGGTTTTTTTAAAATTTATTTTTGCTTTTTTTTTGAAGTTTAGTAACTTTGTTGGACAATCAGCAGTTAGTTCTCATCCAAAGTAACCATGGATTTTTGAAAGTGGTGACAGGCACGTAGGTAGCCAGCATGTAGAACTTGTTCGGTGGGTCTTCACCACGTTTTCTGGACAGCTGCACACGGATCGGTGTGGGGCGTTCCGTGTCCCTTTGGCCCAGACAGCTCTGTTGAGCCTGGTGTTGATGCACACGTCAGGGGTTCCCCTCTCCTTCACAGCGAATTTCCCGATTTCTTGGAGTGCCCAAGGGCCATGCTTCTTGAAACCCACTCCATAGGTGCACTTGTGAATGTTGACAGTATTTCCTCTGGTCACCACCTTGTTGATGGCGGACCACCCTTTGTGGGAGTTTTTAGATGAAGCTTGTATGTTAAACACGGGCCAGGTCTTATGCATTGTGTCCAGTCCTGCGCACACGTAGTGTAGGTCTCTGGCTTGAAGCGTGAGTTCCCAGGGCGGGGGCCAAGGTGAAACCCAGGCACCAGGGAGGCCAGGAGTGTTGGAATTGGGAGGCAGCCTGGAGGCTTGTCAGAGACAGGCCAGGGAGCACAGACGTCCTGCTGGGCTGAACCAGCAGGAGCGCCGCCTGGGCGAGGGGAGGGTGTGCGCACGGCTGACCAGGTGGCCCCACCTTCTCCAGCCCTGCTTATGGACCCACAAGCCTGCGGTCAGCCTTAAACTGAACCTGAAGACATCTTCTGCTGTCCTTCTTTGATCAGGGACAGTTATCTGAGGAGAAGAGCACAACTGTGTACATTGGCAGCTGCAAACGATGTGAAAAGATGAGCATTTTCCTCCCAACAGCTGCTGAGGCTGCTGGGAAGGCCTGCGTGTGGCCAGCGTGTGGCCGGCGGTCGGCGGGACCAGCCAGCCTCCTGCCCTCTGCCGTCTGGGCTGCCAGCCGGCCTCCTGCTGCACCGCCCTGCATTGGCAGGCTTGCTCGGTGCCCTCCGTGGAGATGCTGCTCCCTGGTTTTCGGTGGCTCTGTTTCCATGCTGAGAGCACTTGACGAACACGCCATGCCGTCCCTGGGACTGTCTCCACTTCAGCCGTGAAGAGCCGAGGTGTGGGCCGAGCGGCATGGGGACCGCCTTGCTGGCTTTCTTCGTTCAATCTTAGTTTTTAATTTAAACTGGGTATGGAGCCCACTGTCATTTGTCATGTTAATCATTTTTTGTATGTCTGAACTATTTTATGGTGTCTGAAGGTAAGATGTAACACTACATGAATAACAGCATGACACTTGTCACAGGTCTGGTGCTGAGAGCGCTGGCTTGGGGACTGGCAGTTTCCAGCGCAGGAGGGAAGATTGCACACAGGCTTCGTGGAAGCCGACAGACGGGTCCTGGGGAAGCTCCAGGGCCCATCCTAGCCAAGTCTTGAAAGAAAACAGCTGCGTTAGCACGTGTGTAATACTGAAGTGGGAACCCAGCCACGTACCATACATAGACATCTAAGAGTTAGGCTGTAGAAGTCCTAGAAGAAAATGCAGGCATGAATCTTTGTGACCTCAGATTAGGCAGTGGTTTCTTACACATGACACCAAAAGCACAAGCAACAAAGCCTCCTCAAAACTAAAAACTATTGAGTGGATGCATGTGTATGTGTGCCTGCGTCCTCTGAAACCACTGCAACATTGTTAAACATAGTACAGAGTTAGTCTGTACTCTACTGCAAAATGAA